ATATTTTAAAGAGCTGCAAGTTTTGCACAATCTGCAGTTGAAAATTCATTTTAGATCCTGAGTGAACGATGAATGTATTGATTTTATAATGATGTGTGTGTTTTTTTTTATTTTTTTTTTTTGTGTCTGCGTACACGATAAGTAGTGGAAATAATGCTAATAGTTTTCAAAATCCCCAGGAAAACAACATAAAAATTAAGGAAAAACGTTAATTTTTACGCAAAATCTACTTTGGTTTTTGGTGTAACATTAAAACAAATGACCGTAGATACATGACATTTTCACTGGTTGATTATATTTAAATTTTCTATACACCATACAATTTTGAAAATAATTTGACTCTTTTTGAATTTTTTACGGACATTGTCAGTTTTCAATATTTTTAGTTTTTTTTTCTATGAATGTCAATAAAACTTTATTTGTTGGGTAAAAAAACTTGAAAATTTAATACAAGGCTCCTACTATATTGTTACAATTACATTTGAAAAATATTAAAAATCCTTGGTCACAGTTTTTATTTATAAGCATTTGGAGTTTAAATCTTGACAAAATACGGAAAAATCACGAAAATTAGCAAATGATTTTGAGTTAAGAATTCGTAAAAAATTTACGAAAATTCTTTTTAAATCTAAGATTTTTAAATGTAATACAAGATTCCTTATAAGATTATTTACCTTTATCAAAAAAAAAAAAAATGTCTATAAGAAAGTCATATTAAATTTTACGACCGTTTGAAATTCAAATTTTTACAACATTGGATATTCACTTGATTTCTCGTGTAGCGATTTCTTTATTTTGTTGTAATACAAAAACAAATATTTGTAGATACATGAACATTTTACTGAATGTTTATATTTTAATTTTCTATATACCATACAATTTTGAAAATATTTTGACTCTTTTTGAGCTGTTTACGGATATTGTCAAGTTTCAATTTGTTTTTTTTTCCGTTAATATCAATAAAATTTTATTTATTGGGTAAAAAAGCTTGGAAAATGTTAATGCAAGGCTCCTGATATATTTTTACAATAGCAGTTGAAAAATATTAAAAATACATAGGCACAATTTTTTTTTATAAACATTTACAGTTCGAATTTTGGCAAAATTTAGTTATTATTTTGTAGTTAAAAATTTATAAAATGTTCAACTTTTATAGCTAAGGATTGAAAATTTAAAACAAAGTAAATAGATTAATATATAAATTACTTTATTCACAATATTATCATCAAATATATTTAGTAATATACTAATATACTAATATCATAGGCTGACTGACCGATTTCGCTCAGAATCGTTTTTATTATACAATGATTTATCATTGAATTCAAATTTAACACCATCCATACAGTGCCCCACTTGTAACCTACTGTACAGTAGAGCGACATCCACTTACCCACATTTTTTTATCTTAGTAGTTAACTTCAAAATCGTTGTGTATTTGCCTCAAACTATAAATGGCAAAATCTATTGTTCCATGATTCACAAAAATTATTGTTTCGGTGGTTATTATCAAGTGTTGTTTTGTGAACATTTCAAGTTTCCGGTGGAAACATCGCTAGAAAACGTCATGCAATTAAACTTGGAGTGTTTATTGTTTATTTATTCGACGTATCGTTCCACTCACGTAGGTTCCTTAAAAATATTGAAGTAACTCCTCGGCACCAAGAGGAATAATTAATTTTAAATATTCAACACCTTTTTGTAACCTGTGTAGAGGCAAAAAAGCCAAACTGTCTAACATACCTACCACAAAATTCATTAAAATCATAATCTTCTTGATGTCTTTTCTTTAATCCTAATTCTGCTAATTTCCTGTTAGTACTCTGGCATAGATGATAGAAACTTCCATTTGTTATTAAATGTTCCTCTAGGCTCTAACAATTTATTAGTTATTACTGCCTATATTTTCGAAATCTATTTTTATGTATCTATATTTCTTGCACGTTATAATAATATGTCTGTAGTTATTATATATTTGACCGTGCTCTGAATTGTTTTTATCGTAGGTAGGAATACAATAATTATTAATTTATCATTGAACCCAAATTTAATATTATTTGTGGGGACATAACAATTGTACGTATCGGTAGGTATACGCATATTTTATACATTTTAGTATTTTACTATAGGCAATAACATATAATACCAATATTTAAATTAATTTGCAAAATCTTGCAAAATCTCATATGGTGTTTTTGTTGGGGACCAATTTTCCGGGTTTATTTTTTCAGGATACCGTATATCGTCGCCTAAGAACCATCATGGCCAATCTCAAAAAATTCAAATATATGTTTTATATATCTATAGATTCGTATTTTCGAGACGCATAAGACCAAATGATTAGTTTCGATGTTTGTCTAATAGGTTTACTATAAATATTCTAAAAGTCATCATGGCCTATCTAAAATTGTTTTTATCAGTGGTATATCATGGCCTATCTAAAATTTTTATTAGCGGTATCATAGGTGGGATCATGGCCTATCTAAAATTGTTATAAAAAAAAAAAAATTGTTATCATGGCCAATCTAAAAATATCGGAACTGCCACTATTAATAGAGAGCCGTCAGCAGCCAAAAACTCGATGAAATCAGTATTACTAATATTATTATTATTATTGACAATAAGATGAAACTTTTTAGAGTTATTTAATGTCAAAAGGTCTACCAACATTCAAAATTCCTAACAAAAAAACAGTTTTTGGTTCACCCTGAAAAGTTGGGAAAACTGAAATTGGCCATGATGGTTCTTAGGCGACGATATATATATACTATACACAAAAGTATACTATGGTCTATGATTTATGATTATGTAATATACATGACGCATTCATAATCCACGAATTTTCCATATACCTATTTATTTTACTTACAATTTAAGGTTGCCGTGTACGTTGTAGAATTATCTTAATAAAAAAAATTAATAAAATCTTATTTGTTCTATTCGATGAGTATGGTGTATCTAGCATTTTATAGTGGCTAATTTATATACATTGTACCTACTATTATTATTTATTTGCGATGTCTGTTTTTTTTTTTAAATTCTTATGTCAAATTACGAAGGAGATAATATGGTTATAAAAAAATTGAGAATGATATGATTGAAATTATCTTTATTGGCTCTATATCTATCCAATCAGTTAGGTAGATACTTCCTATATATTATTATATGATATTATCATTAGGTAGGTTTAATTGTTGAAAAAGAATTTGAGAAGTTTTGAAATGGATAGGTACATAGAATTATAGAATACCTATTTCAATTTAATTAAATTATGAAAAATTACACTTATCTCAATTTCAATACTTAAGACTAAACATTAAACAATAAATAAATAAAAATAAAATATATAATAATTCTAAGTGTATTAAAAGGATGCGTATCTATACTTAGTTGATTATAAGTGTTATAGGTACTTATAAGCAATGTGCATGCTATATTTTTATCAAGGTTTTTACTTTTTATCTATTTTTTTTGTGATGACAAGATTTTCAATAATATTTTTGTATATTTTTAAATTTGTTGACGGGGAAATGGTAATTATTTTTCAAGTTCTATTTGTAAGCATGTAAATAATTACGTGTATTTTAATGTAGTTATTTTTTAATTTGTTGTTAACACCGTAATAACTGCGTAAGTGTAACTAGAAAATATTATCAATAAGACATAGGCCAAAATTATGAATATAAAAACAATTCTAATTAGAAAATAAGTTTTTAATACGTCAGTATAATATTATCCAGTCAGCATATTACTATATTATGGCCTGACCCGTAGTTTCACCTATGAACACCAGTGGATAATCATATTTAATACACACATGAGTACATGACACGTTGTGCCTATATGAAATTTTTAAATTGAGTAAAAATTTTCTTTTTTTATTATATACACGTAGTTATCATTTACCTATTACCTAGTATCCAAGGTAAATTTACATTTTATTTTATATTATTTGAGTGTTTGACTAATGTTTGTGCAGTTTATTTTGTGATATTTGATCTTATTTTATTATAAAGTAAAGTGAAATCTACTAATTTTCGTAAAAACGGAAAAATATGGATATTTTGTCCCCGGATATTTTTTCTTGGATATTTTGACCGATTACCATCCAAGGGGGATTGATCAATTGTGCTATCTGTTATCTTATATATAGATAATTATTGGTTTATCTTTGTACAATAATGCTTATAAGTTATAAGTCATAATATACTCTTATATGAATTATGAATACATATATAATACATTATACGGGGACAAAAGGAACAGTGTTTTAAAAGAAAATTTTGTAGGAGGATGAAATATTCAAATATGTGAAAGAAAAAAATGAGATTATAGTTCAAATTTTTACTTATTCCTTCCGCTTCCAAGTCTTCGACCCTTATTAACGAACATCAAACAAAAGTGGAAAAAACTGAACGGAAAAGTTATAGCTATCGTCAACCGGTGGTTGGCGGATGACCTATAATACCGCGGCATACCACAACAGTACACAGCAACACACGCTCTTGTTATTGTTATGATTGTTGTTATAATACTATATTGCGTACCACTGTACCAGTGTATGGAGGTGTCTCGTACCTACCTACCTACCTACCTACTAAGTACTATACCTAATACCTACAACACGCCTACGGGCAAACGTCGACAACGACGATCCACGAGGGGCTTGCCCCTTCCTATGAGCGATCGGCAGCGGCGGCGGCGGCAGTGGCAGACGGCCAGAGCGAAGCGGATAAAGGAAAACCGAAACCAGTCCCGCGCCGATCTCCCTCACTGTCGTCCACGCACGCGACTGTGTAACGCGTACGCCGCCGTTGACTTAATATTTTTTGAAAAAAAAAACTTTTCGTGGGATTTTTTTACCCGCCGTTTGCTTTCCGATTTGCTGCTTAGCCTTTGCTGCTCCGGGACGCAGGTTTTCTCCGAACGCTATCCGGTCGGCCGTCGACGGTATTCTGCTTATTTTACTTTGCACATCGAGTTCGACAGTGCGTCACGCCATGTATTCCGACAAAGTGGAAGTGCTCCGGTTCGAAACAGAACCGTACAGGAACAAAAACGGCAGCCCGAACAAAAACGGAGTGCTGCACTACAACAACAACAACCACAGCAACAAGAACCACAACAACCCGAAACATTTTATCTTCCAGAACGGGTATCACAACACGTCAGTATAAGTATAACATTGTGTATTGCTCGCTAACAATTAGTTTTTTTTTTATTACGACGTGTAAATAAATTATGTACGCTACGCGCACGCAAGTGTGATGTGACGCATAAAATATGGTATCTTCTTTATACGGCGCGATGAGATAACGTACTTCCAGTACTCACGTGGACATTTTGTTCCCCTTCAAATCCTCTGGATGTCGTCTCTTTTGGGATTTCGATTTTATCGTTAGTTTAAAACTTCGTATCCTACTACCTCGAATCCGACTGTATACAACAACTACAACAACCACAACAACAACAACAAGTAACAACTAGCTACAATTGTTATATTCTGTGTAACTAGGTACCCAGTTGTCGGTCGTGATAAGAACTGTTTTGATGATAAGAACGCAAAGTCGTCTAGAAAAAATAAAACTACCACACATAATAATATCATAAGACGAGATTACTTTATCACAAATATGTACGTGAAGTGTATGCGTTTTTTTTTTTTGGGGGGGGGGCTAGGGACAGAACGCTAAAAAATTGTTGGGTGACTGGCTTCGTCAGAGGGGTGAAATAGCGGGGGTAGTCGACAGGTAAAATGCAGGTAATGGTATTTTACCTTTCGTGATAATATATTGTGCGCTTGTAGTTTGTCGCAACGTTGGCGTACAAAAAAATTATTCGACTCCCACGACCGCATAGTAAGTCGAAAACCGTTTTTTTTCGTACAATTTCGTGTAGGTACCATGTATTATATTTTACGGTCGAGCACACAGATTGTACGGCGCAGTGTATGCCATACGTCCTGCGAGACACATCGCGGGGAACCGGTTTGTCTGAACTAGTCTTGGGAATAAAGAAACCACATTTGAGAATGAATATTTCGAGGAGGATTAAGACACGATTACGACAATAATAATAATAATAATAATATTATTATCCGTGTGCGCACTGCAGTATCACTCTCCACAACAGTTTTCGTAGATACATGATTCATGAATGCAACGAGTTTGTTTATAGAATTCTGACTGTACCTTACGCGCATAATACAACCGACCGTGACCTTTGTCACATTCCATCGACACCACCGATGGTACAAACGTCGACTCGTCCCCAGTGTACCTGATATATTTTTCATAATATCATCATAGGTATTACATAATGGTATATAATATATACGAATATGATACACAAATATAATATTATATTGTAATATTGTTTAAATTAATGTTCATAATATTATATAACACCCGACTGATTATATAAAACGATATGCTAATATCCTTTTTTATTTGTCCACAATAATAACATTATGTAGGTTATTATTGTTTACATCAAACACGAGGTCTTGGATTCTTTTTATTGGTCTTTTCCGTCCAACCAACATCTCTATCTCGCTATTCAAAATATCCGCATAATATAATATTGTCTTCTGTTCAACGCGGAATAATATACTACTTCGATTCAACTTCGGTTATCATAAATTATTTTTTTTTAACTAGTTTATTATATTATACCTAATGTGCATACATGTCGAATGATTTATAAAATGTTGTGTATAGGAATGAGAACGAAGCATTTATGTAGACAATTTGACTTATTAGCTTTTTTGTAGTGTTACCGGTGGTTAATAGGTAATAATAATTTGATATTAATATATTTTTTTTGTCACAATCAATTAATAGGTATATTTAAAATTGTTTTAATTGTTCAGCTTTTTCCTTTGGTCTTTTTTAAGTTGTAACAATTACCAATATACTCAGATACCTATCATATAGGTACATATTATTTCTTCTAGGTACTAAACAGAAAAATAAAATTTAAATACATATTCCTGTTACTGTTACTTGTTATAAGTACTTATAACTTGTCCTTAAGTTGTGTATCACATCACAAAACATCTCGGTTGACACATACAATTTAGGTCATGGGTCATGGTTTAACCATTTCAAGTATTTCCCATCGGAAACAAGATGATATATTTTCGTTTACCTGCTATAGTGCTATGGAATTGTACCTAAAAATGAACTGAATTCATTTCTTTGAAACGACATAGCGCACAATAGTCGATTTTATATTATATTATTGTATAAACCGTTTCTAAAATGTTTCCCAAAACAAATTTCATGACGAAACATTGGTATATTTTTTACATAGTTTGGAAAAGTTATTTTACTACTTATCAAGACTATTTAGTTTTTGCATTGATAATTGGCGTTATTCTAAAAAAATTAACACATTTGGTAGATAGATATTCAAATATAAATGTCTGAATCTAGGTACTTTTGAATTTTGATATGTAACTCTTCAAATTATACGTTATCATTGTAAAATAAACTACTTTGCTTATAGAAAAAAATAATATATTTAAAACCAAAGTAGGAAACACAACAATATTCAAAAAATAATAACATACTTTATTACTTACGCCTGCGAAACTTTAAATACTTATATACCTACTATAATATATTACCTACATATAATCTGCAGGGGTGGGATTTTTATGTCAATACATTTTTTCACTAAAATATAATAAACTAATTAAGGAAAGTCAAATAATTAGTCAATTTACATAATCAAAATTGGTGGTTTATTAGTAAATTATACTTTAATACTAAAATATAATTCTTATATATATTGTAAGTGTGTAGTTATAAAAAATAAATTTCATGGCATTTTAAAACTAGATGTACCTAAATCAGTGTTATGGCCAAATCGTCTTAATAGTTTATATTAATATATATTAATATATAATTTATAATAATAATAATTAAGTTTTTATTAAAAAAAATTTAAAAAACGGTTAAAATATGGTTTATTATTGTTTTACACTTTTCCAGTAGTTAACATTTTTCATTCTTTACTATAATACCTATATTTAAATAATTTTATTACATGTTATACATATTATGTACATATTTTTGCTCTAATAATACATATTAATTCCAGCCCTACATATAATAATAAATAAGTAGTATTGGTATATTAAATTAAACACGATAATATGTATGTTTGAAGAATAATTACTTTTACTTGGTTTTTGTTTTTGATAAATGGTAACCCTGGAAAACTTAAATATAGGGGAAGGGTCCTGCATGACAAGGTCATGAACAGAACGCCGTATAGTTGTATCGTGCGTATAATAATGGCGAGTGTTTTTGAAATATCTAAAGCTTTATTTGTTTTATGGTTTGGTACATTTCAACTCTTAAGGTTTGCTTTTCTCTTGATACGTAAGTACAAACATGATGAATACGACAAACAGACTGGAAAACACGATGAAAATTTTATTGGAGGAGTTAAAAGAAAGGATTGATGCTGAATCTGTTATTATGGACCAGGAAATACATTACAATTTATGGACAAAAACGTAATATTTAGTAAACGTTGTATACATTGTAGTTTGTGGAATTGTTAATAAGAGACACTTATAAGTATAATAAGTATCTAATAAATTATTATAAGTGCAGGGGATTAATACTAGTTGAGTCCCGTTAAATGTTAAAATAAAAATGTCTTCGTTCCAATTTTTACAGACGTAGGACTCTAACAAGTCTGTAACAAACAATTCTACACGAAAGGCTAGAAAAAGTTTTTTTATGTTAATTTTAAAAATTTAATTGATGCGTGTTTTAGGTTTATGTATAATTCAGTGGTTTGCGATAACGAATAAGTCTAATAATTTAATTTAATATCTTATACGTAATACTATTACTGGTAAAAACGTATGCGATACACTTTGTATTCTAATATTGTTATTTGTTTTGAATGCAACAGCTGTATTTTTTCTATAATTTATTTTTCTTTGATATTGATATAATTTATTTTATTTATTCATAAAATGAACACTTATCATTTTTACATTCACAATCATAATTTTTATCCAATTGAAGCACGACGATAAAGTTCTTTATAATCTTGAATGAAAATCATACCAAAATATGATAAGAAAACGATATCACCACAGAATAGATGAAATTTCATCTATTCTGTGATATCACTTAGTCGTACCTGTATTATAGGTACTCTAAAAATCTAAGACCGTGATAATACGTATACCTACGATGGGCTACGGTTGACCTTTTATATTCTACTTTTCTCAATGCGGACTAAATTTGTATATTTTTCGTTTCCAAATCGCGGATCCAATTGGCTTTTTTTTTTTTGTTTATACTTGGAGCTGTTTATATAGGTATATTATTTATTTTTTCCGTCAGGTGGATTTAATATTTTAATTATTATGCACTGATATTTATGGTCGATAAAATGATTGTAAGTGTTAACATTAATTTGTATTATATCCCATGGTTAGTGGCATTTTTAACTAATAACAATTGGTTAATTTTGTCATTTTAGTAAATGTGTTACAATTTAATTGCTATTAAAATGTTATTTATAATTGAAGGTTGTACCAAGAATTCAGTTAATAAGTATTGTTGAATTAATATTTTACTGCCAAAGCATTTTAGCATTTACCTAATAGTTTTTACTTTTTAGTAATTAATCATGAATCGGTTGGCCGTACAGTAATTTTTATAATTTATGATTAATCGAAACAAAGTTTTAAAAATCTATAAAACTATAAATAAGTACTTCCTCACAGTGGTGTATCCAGAAATTTTTATTATTTTATTTTTATTTATTATGTTACATATTTATACGTAGTTGACAAGAATCATATTTTCATTATTTATAATTCACATAATATTATATATTGTATTCGGATATTTTAATTGTTTTACCTTAATCATTAAAAATCAAACTTTTCTGTTGTGGTAGATTCTTATAAAAAATAGTAAAATCATAGAAATTCTGTCATAATTTACCCATAATTTATTTAATTCGCAATTTTCTTTACTCAAGGTCGTAAATATAATATGATTTAAAATAAGGCGTAAGTTTAGGTAGTATGAAATTCTGTCATAATTTATTTAATTAGTATTTTTCTTTACTCGAGGTCGTAAATATAATATGATTTAAAATAAGGCGTTAGTTTAGGTAGATTCATAT